ACCAAACCCTTTCAGATTCCTTGTGGCATTAGGACCAAACCCTGACAGATTCTTTGTGGCATTAGGATCAAACTCTGACAGATTCCTTGTGGCATTAGGATCAAACTCGGACAGATTCCTTGTGGCATTAGGATCAAACCCTTACAGATTTCTTGTGGCATTAGGATCAAACCCTTTCAGATTCCTTGTGGCATTAGGATCAAACCCTGACAGATTTCTTGTGGCATTAGGATCAAACTCTGTCAGATTCCTTGTGGTATTAAGATCGAACCCTAATAGATTCCTTGTGGTATTAAGATCGAACCCTAATAGATTCCTTGTGGTATTAGGATCAAACCCTGTCAGATTCCTTGTGGTATTAGGATCAAACCCTTTCAGATTCCTTGTGGCGTTAGGATCAAACCCTGACAGATTCCTTGTGGCATTAGGATCAAACCCTGTCAGATTCCTTGTGGTATTATGATCAAACCCTGACAGATTCCTTGTGGTATTAGGATCAAACCCTGACAGATTCCTTGTGGCATTAGGATCAAACCCTGTCAGATTCCTTGTGGTATTAGGATTAAACCCTGACAGATTCCTTGTGGTATTAGGATCAAACCCTGTCAGATTCCTTGTGGTATTAGGTTCAAACTCTGTCAGATTCCTTGTGGTATTAGGATTAAACCCTGACAGATTCCTTGTGGTATTAGGATCAAACCCTGTCAGATTCCTTGTGGTATTAGGATCAAACTCTGTCAGATTCCTTGTGGTATTAGGATCAAACTCTGTCAGATTCCTTGTGGCATTAGGTCGAATAAGGATCATACCCTGGTCTCGTATCATAAAGAATTCAAAAAAATGTTTTAAAAGATTTTTTAATAAATGATACAATAACAAAGGTCAAAACTCAAAACTGTGTGAGCATCATAAATCATAAGATGGACGATTGGTAACATCAGCAACATAACATTTAGTAAGCTACTTGAGGATACTAGTTGTCTGGTGTGAGGTTAAACATAATTAATACAGACAAATAATTGTTTTAAATGCCAAAATCATGACTAATTATTTGATGCCAGTATATCCTATTTCAGCTGTTAGAGGCTATACATGTACACTTTTAAGAGGTAGAGTCACTGTTCAATTTTGTTCACTGGATACATTATTTCTATAATACAAAGAATAAGTAACAATGGAGGTTTATCAAAATACTTTGTACAAAAAAGCAACTGTTTCAGAAGGAAAGACGGGCGTAAAGTCAAGCTATACAATATTTGAAACTAATGTGTCGAAGTGAAACATTTGGCTCCTCACAAAATCCTAGAATGATACTGATATTTACCCTTGTTACATTTATAGTAATTCTATTGAATATTGACCAATGGACGTATTGAATTCTCATCCTTATTTCCATGACTTGTCATGCATGTGCATTTTCTACTCAAAAAATAAATCCATCTTGGAAAAACATTAATGAATCATTTTTCCCCATTTCTTTTCAATTCAATATATTGTGTGTCAAGTATTCAGTCATATCTGGCCAGGCACTGGTTCATCAGAGCAGATTTGTAATATGATTACTTATCCTGAACCACAAAAGAAACATCGGCATGACATCCACCCCTTTTAAAACTCTAGTTTTGCTCAACCGAGAGAGAAATGCCATATTCTGATGTTGCTGAGCGCACGTGCTTTTCGGCGATTTTAAATAACAGATAAAATAGGTCCCAGATGGAGTCGAAATGGATGAATCCCATTGCTTGCAGGATTATAATATTGTACTGGTTTTAGCTGCTGCAGAGAGTGAATGCTGATCCTTGGATGTTACAGTGCAACATTTCTGTAGTGGTTCAGTATATTAAAAGTGATGTTTAAAGTATATGAAAAGAACACAGGCAATGATAAAAGAAAAATTTAAAATGAAACTGTGTCCTGTATATTTGATTATATTTATTTATATTTATTTATGTATATAAAAATAGTAATATCAACAATGCTTTAAAAGAGTGCAAATTAGAAAAAAAAACTATTGCCATGACACAAGCATAAATCAATGCACATCCAGTCACATAATGGTTTAACTATATACATGCTAGAAATGGTTAATATATAAATGAAAGTTCTTATACAGTTGATTCATTTGTTTAATGCAAATTGCCTTTCATTCGATGAATTGATTGGCATTTAAAAGGTAATGGTGCAGCATATTCAAACATGTATATTTCTGTACATCAAAGAATCAGATTTTCCTCTTTACTTTTAGGTAGTTTATTTATGGTCTTGATTACCAATTGTTCTACTGTTCATGATGAAGTTTGGATATACGTTACTGTGCCAATATCAATTGATCAAATATATTAAATGGGTCAAGTGATAGACAGAAAAAAGATTTGAGATCATGTGAGCAAAAAATAGATGTCCACAAAATAAATAACTTAGGAATGTACACATGTTGAAGATTCTGATGTTAATTCTAAGGCCTGTAGCATATCATCCAATTCTTTCTCTAAATTATTGATATCTGTCTGTAGTTGATTCATTTCTGTTTTCTGTGCTCCATAGAGAGTTATCATATCTGTAACATTATAAATATAATATCATATTAGTAATGTGGTGTTTCTGCATGGATGATGAGTTGAAAAACGCATAGTGGTAAAAGGTGTTCCCTGTTGCTTTTTCGGAAACATACAAAAAGAAAATATCTTCAGCAAATACGATTTTATAAACATAAAAACATAATAACAATCTACATGATATAATACTAATTTCCTTAAAACCAATATTTCAGAAACACCAAATCTTATGAAAAGCATGTGAACAAATAGACCCATAAATAATGGATCTAAATTTCCTGAGAAGGCATAAAACACAGATATAGATGATATACCCACAGATAGTGGCATGTCCAACACCAAGATACATTTACATTTCCTGTGCGAGATTATAACACAGATTATTTTTTGGCCCATGGTTGTCCTGTACTTACTTGTTATATCTGCTATTTGTTGAGCTTTAGACAAATCACCGATAACATTATCCAAGCTAGTTTTAGTTGTTTGTAGTTCACTCACTGCTTGGTTGGTACTTTTGGAATCTACATCTGTATTTAATGCTGTCTCTGTGGCTGTATACTCTCCTTGTTGCTAATATTAATAAGATAGATACTTTGAGGGATATTGAAATATACTATTATAGCACAAACATGCAAAGAAATAAAGGCAATACATGTACCAAAATAAGTATAGCCACATGTATGTGGAAGCTGATATGACAAAACCAGTGAGAGAATGGGAACATGTGTCTATACATCCAACCACAATCTGAAGTTTCATAAATAACTACAAAATGTTGATATAGCGAAACTTGACCTGTTTTGCAGCACAAACAACTAAAGATCATCCGAATCAGCTTTATCATCAATACTAACATTACCAAGTTGCAAATATAAAACGAAGCAATTGACTTCCATGAAATGTTCCTGGTTAAAGAACATACTTCTCTTCACTTCCATAGCATCATAATATGATTTGACATAATATATTACCTTTTCAACTTCTTTAGCTTGTTGTAAAGCAACATTAGCAGTATTTCTACTAGATTCAGATCTACTTTTAGCATCACTATAACACTGACTAGTCTTAGCTATAAAACTTTGTACATTAGTTACTTCTGCTGTAGTTTTAGTTACTAGCTGACCAACTTCACTCACTTTAGAGGATGCCTGAAAAAATACAATTAGTAAATTCATGATAGATTGAACAATATACTGATTTGAACAATTTTGGTATTGGTTGACCAATTTCATTGGCTGTTTTACAAATTCACAGTGGGTGAGGTGGTTGACAAATTTACCAGTAATTAATGGTGGTAGACCAATATGACAATATGTGTTGGTGATTCAAAAATTGGTCAATGGTTGATGTTGGTTGACAAATTTGACAGATGTTAATGGTGGTTTATCAGTTTGACAGTGGTTAATGGCGGTTTACCAGTTTGACAGTGGTAAATGGTGGTTTACCAACTTGACAGTGGTTAATGATGGTTTACCAGTTTGACAGTGGTTAATGGTGGTTTACCATTTTGACAGTGGTTAATGATGGTTTGCCAGTTTGACAGTTTTTAATGGCAGTTTACTAGTTTGCTTAGTGGTTAATGATGGTTTACCAGTTTGACAGTGGTTAATGGTGGTTGATCTGATCTGACATCAGATAATGGTGATTAACAAATCTACCAATAATTAATAGTGGTTCACCAATTTGGAAGTTAATCTTGGTGATGGATAAATTTAACAGTAAATGTTGCCAGTTGACCAATTTGAACACTTTGACAATGGTTTATGGTGGTTGACCACTTTGACAGTGATTAATCATGGTTGACCAATTAGGAAGTGATTGATTTTGATAGACCAATTTGACAGTGATTAACGTTGGTTTACTGATTTACAACTGGATTCAAATGAAAATGTAGTTATTTAAATAATCAAATTCTAAATATATGATACCTAAATAATTGAAGGTTGAAAAGTCTTGTGTTTTTTTATAATATGCAATAAAAGTATTACAAAACTGATTTACTCCTGAAAATAATGGTATCATTCAATCTAATTTCTGAATCTGAAAGCTGTTTGACAGCAAAAACTCTATATTAGAATTTCAAGGTCAATTTTGAAAAAAAAGCTTAAAGTAATATGTCATTTCAGTAATTGCTATTATTGCATATTACAGATTTTGATGTTTCATTGCTATTTCTTGTTATATGTTAAAAACAGTTAATTAAAATATTGTCTTTCCCTACACTGTATGTACCCACAAAACGAAATATCTCTACTATTCCTAAATTCTAAAAGCAGGGGGTAAAATAGGTAGGAGAAACTAAAAGGAATTGTAAATGGTTACAGTATATACTGTGATAATTGCCCAAACATAAATGAAACTCAATATCTACTTGTTATTATGTTACGTAACATTTCATAGTGAAGAATATCATTCACAATACACATAGTAATAATAAATGAATTCCATTTATAATACAAATAAAACCACAATTTTATTTTTTAACCATTCTATCCCTGAAGCTTGTCTACATAGATATATAAAATCTATCCCTATAACCTTGTCTACAGTTTGAACCCAACAGAAAGTTGATACTTACATCGTTTTTAGACTAATAAATCAAAGTTAATTATCAATTTTAATCAAAACAGCTTCTAGTGGTACAAATTCTTCTAATTGTTTTCTTTTATAATCAGACTCATTTGCATTTTCAGTTTGTTCTAGGTTTGGGACTATCTGGCCCAGATCAGACCGATTGATAAACACAATGTGGGTATTAATAAAAAAGCCCTTCACCATCTTGAGTAAAATTTTAAAGTAAAAATGAACAAATATTTAAAAAGTAAAATCAGCTTACCTGGCCTATAGCATTGTAGATTGTATTATTAAAGGAATCAGTTTCAGTTTTTAAAGTTGTAGCATTAGCTCTTAAATTGGAAGCATCATTAATATTTTCCTGTATACCTTTAACTTCTTCTAGAGCTGTTCTTGAATCATCTCTGAAAGAAAAGTCTTATATTATCTAAAAGTTATATTGTTGTTCTAAATCAAAAGTAAATGGGTTGAAGTTCAAACCAATTTGTTTCAATTGAATTGAGGAAAGTGTAAAAGAAAGTCTTTGGAAGTAGATTGTCAAGTGACCCAATGAAATAATGTAACTGTTATTATTTAGATTAGTATATGATCGTTTTTATTTTAGTATTAATGCTAGCATAGTATAACTAATAAAAACATGTATGTTAATTTAAATTTTTTTGAATAATGTTTAAATACTTACAGAGCCTTTTCAGTGATATTGAGCACATTTTTAGCTGTCTCTAAAGCATTTTGAGCATTCTGATTGGCTTGAGCTACATCAGCATCAGATATAGTGGTCTCTCGTATCTGTGTAGTGATTACTTCTAGCTCTGATTTATCACGAATTGTGACATCATTAACTTGTACCACCATAGTTTTAATATCTGCTATTTTATTATTGATATTAATTAGTTGTTTAGAACCATCTAATACAGCTACAAATGCTCCAGTAATATCATTAAATGCTTTGTCTGCTGCAGCCTTTAAAATATACAAAGAAACAACCATATTTTACAAGGATAATATCTTGTTTTTGTGGATCTACCTGCAGCCTATGAGATATGATAAAATAGGAAGAACAATATTTTACAAGAATAACAACTAAGGTTGTCCAGGATCCTGTTCAGATGGTTCTTTGTCAAACCCACGGCATTGATTAAGTGACAGCAAAACTCTACATATCAAAAGACTTATGAGAAAAGGTTTTATATAAATCATTTCCAGATATAAATCATGTTTGAAAATCTAAAAGAAGTAAGATTATGTATCTGAGTTTTCAAGTCCACCAGACAAATGTGGAAGACCAAACACCATCCTGGATGGAAAAGAATGATCAATTCACTGCATCTATAAGTCTCATTCAAGCAGACAACAATCTGGATTCAAACATGAAGTTTATTACCTTATATTGACGAACTAGATTAAAAGCTTCAGTTGCAATAGTTGACAGACCTTTAGCATCAGAATAAGCAGTTTGACTCTCTTGTAATTTGGTCTCAAGTCTTGTTTTGACCTCATCTGTTTTCTGTATAACTGTATTCATTGTGGTGTTAGCTGATTCAAACTGAGTTGTCATTTCAGTGATGATGGAGTTCAGTTCTGTCAACAAGGTTCTTGCTGATGTCAATGCCTGATTACCATCGGATAAACTCTTTTCGTTCTCATTATATCCTGGTAGAAAGGTATCATTATAAACTGTAGAAGCTGTATTGAAAGTTTGTTCGGCTACAGTAAGAGTTGACATGGCCGTCTGTACTCTAGTTCTCAGTTGCTGTGTTGTCTGATCAGCAGATCCAACCAGAACAGACAACTCTTGTATATGAATAAATGATTTGTTAGCTTTATCATAAGCAGCATTAATCTGATCGGTCAGTTCTGTTAATTTTGTATCCAATGACTCAGCAGTATATGTAATATTGTCTATTTCAATGTCACCATTAAAAGAAGCAACAGAGGCTAGAGATTCTATAGAACTATTCAATCTTGTTTCAATATCCATTAACATAGTACTCAGTTGGTTAACTTCATTGACAACCTGTTTCATATAAATAAGGTAAAATGAATTTCAAGTCTTGTTTGTATATTATAATATATTAATTATTAAGAGAATTGAAAGTAATGCTGTATCACTCTATGTTGTTGTATAATAAAAGAAGTAAGAAGACACCTATTAAAGGAGCACCTTCACTATCCATTCGACCAATCATACCTTAGTTTCAGAAACAGGAAGTTTTTTAGCTTACATAATCAGTATTAGTGTTCACAACTCATCATCGAAATTTGAGCTTTCAAATCCATCGAAATCGAAATCTGTATCCATTCTAGATCCTTTTACTATATTTAGGTGTTCTTCTAATAGAGTTACAATATGTTCTCTTACACATTACACATAAAAAGAGAGGAAATAAACTCACCATGTTTAGTTCTTGTGTTAAATTATTAACAATGTTGGTAATGTTTTCAGCTCTTGATACAGATTCATTGGCATTTAGTATACTAGTTTTAATATTATTTAAATCATCGGTTACAGACTCTCCTGTTTTAAAACCTACAAATACAATATATAACTTTCCGATAGGTTTCTTCTGAGAATAAGAAAGATCTTAAAAGCTCTCTGCTAAAAATCTTAAGGACCTTTTAGTAACTAGCAATAAATTTTGTTTTTGGACCTCAGGGAAATTTAATTGAAATAAATTTTTAACTGAAGATGCTTTTGCAGACAATCTGACTGTCTAAAGTTTATCTTTTGTATTCATGTATCAATATGCTTTAAAAACATGTTTTTGGGGTTTGTTTTTGCATGTGGGATAATAGGTATTCTTACCATAATTTGCCCAAATATCATTAGTTTTCTTTTCTACATCATTAAATTCAAGTCCAATATTATCCATTTTCCGTGCCCAGCCATCAAAACATTCTCCACATAACACACAATTGGGATACTTTCCTAAAAATATTTCAATGATATAATCAATCAATTTTGATTAGTTGAATATCTTTTTCTCCAAAAATTCAAGTTTTTACAAATATAATAATTGCACAAATGGATTTCTCCAGAGTTTGCCATTTTGCATTATTTCATATATCCTAATTGGCAGAGGAACAGCTCAGTTGGTACTAAGTTGGATTGTCTGCTAGGTGATAAAATGCATGAACCAGACTCAGTCTGTGGACTTTCGACCCCTATCATAGAAGAGCAAGACTAAACAATAACAATACTCACCAATATTGAACACACTGACAAAGCCTGAGTATGTTTCTGTAATAGAAGTTCACAAAACATATGATGAAAATACAAACAAACCATCACATCCAAAGCATGGTTACCATTGACAACATGAAAAGGAGTAAACAGGAATCATTGCCAGCTTCAACCAATATCTAAGAGTTGCTCAAGATCAGGGTCGTAAATTACTGACAATCATAATTTCTAATCAAAATCAAAGCAGACGGCTCAATTTAGATCATCATGTTCTAGAGAGAAAACTGGAATACAGGAATAGATGGTAATTGAAATAGTAAAAAGAGAGAGCTGACATACCTTTTGTATTTTTGGAACAAGTATTACATGTACGACCTATAATACCAGGTTGTTTACAAGTACAGTCACCAGTAATTAAATTACAAACACCTTTAGTACCACCAGTTACTGTAGCTTCAGCTGTTCCTTCTTCAGTACATCCACAGGCTGTAACAAATCATTTATAAATATGGCACTCAAACATGTCCAAATTTCAAAGTACAGTAAAATTTCAAAACATTTGGATATGCAACACAAAAGCTCCACAGAGCAATCCACAGAGCAATATTTTTGCACAAAGGTATGTGTGAAAAATTCACTGGAAGTTTGAACCAGTTTTGTTCAGATTTGTAAAAACTATACACCAAAGAGACATTTGTCCCTTAATGTATCTGGAAGTTTTAACTTAAAAAAATCTAGTTGTTAACTTTGACAAAAACATTAACTAAGTTTATGTACACTTTCAAAGTTCATTAATGTTTTACAAAAAAAGGCGGAATGATCACCAGTTGTGTATGGTTTCGAATAAGAATAGTAGTCATAAGTATTGAACGTAATTCTCAGGTCACTGAGTACTGTTAGAAACTCATGATCATTTCCATTATTAATGGCAACCATACACAACTAGTAATCGCTATGGTATCAATATCTTATTTTAAGTTTGGTATTAATATTTGAAAACTATGAAGTAATTTAGAGGACTTACAATCACAGCCTGTTACAGTATTTAACTTATAGAACTGAGCTTGACAGGCATCACATTGTCTATTGATAACATTAGAACGACAAGTACATTGTCCTGTGATCTGAAATAGAAATCAAACAGCTTTCAATTTCTCATTCCAAAATGATCAGTGTATGAATATCATGTTTTTATAACTGAATCATTTTTTCTGATCATCTTTTTGACTCTTAATAGCTGTCTTGTTTATGCTATCTCACCCATTTGGAGCCCTTTATTTGCCATCAGCAAAATGATGAATCAACAATTCTGATAATTGCTAAACAATGGATCTCGACCTTAACAATGATAACAGTTGTTGTCTTCGTCCACTTGTTGCTTATAGTGTAAAAATACTTTATACATTTCTGAGAGATTAATGCCCACGGACAAACATTTGAGCCCTAAAATATTACTTACAACATCACAAGATAAACCTATAGCTCCTTCAGCATGGCAATCACACATCTGACAACCAGTACCACTTGTTAAATTAAATGAATTGGGTACACATTGATCACAATTAAATCCTTGTACATTTGGATAACATTCACATTGTCCAGTAGCAGCATTACATTTACCATCAGATCCAACAGAATCACAACTACATACTAAAAATAGATAAGACAAAATCTTGAAAGAATTGGTATAGTCTAGAATTTATAGTAATTCATGTGAAATACATTTGTTTAAAATTTAAGATACGATTTATTTCCAGACTGCGAAAGAGTCATCTCAATTCATCAGAGATGAAAATGCTCATATAATATAATATATGCAAAATTAAAAGTAGGCAACATTATTATAGATTGGAATTTAACATCTCCCCTACATTGATGTTTCCATGATGCATTACCTTAAGAGAAATGAACATTCCACAAATTCAATTAAATGTGTTGACTCAAAAGAATCTTATTTGATAACATGTTGTACGTAAAACAGGTAGATACGCATATATTGCCTGCTAAAATAAAATGAACTTACGTTTACAATCATATGTCATAGCATCACCAAAATATTTCTCTGTACAGATATCACATTCTTTACCAGCTGTATTGTTTCTACAGTCAATACATACACCAGTTGTTGTATTACATGTATCAGCTCTGTCATTACATACGCATGGTACACATTTACCTCCTTTTACCTATATGGTATACAAAATGCTCAAATGTCAAAATTGTTCCTTGATTTAAACATCATCACAAGTTAATTCTCACAAAATTTTAAATCAAATATGAGATTTTTCAAAAAAGATGAGCATCAAAAATTAAATTTTCAAAAATATTTCATCTTGATTGTGTGGTGTAATGGCAGAAATTATAACTGGAATTACAAATATTTATTGCCACAAACTAGAGTAATTTGGATTTGAACATTATTCTTGATTTGTTCATGTAAAGGGACAGATGCACCATTTTGGGGGATTGATTTCAGTCTTATACATGAAGTAATAAAAATGTACGAAAATCGCATAATTCCTTTAAAAATATTTCAAACTAAGAATTTTACTCATTATTTCTATATATGTCCTTTCTATAGTATCTTAAATTGACAAGTCATCATTTTCACATTCAATCGTGGATAATTCTTGGCACACATGGATTTGAAGGCTCAAATTTTGACGGTGAGTTTCTGAGACTAAACGTATGATTGGTAAAAAAAAAATGGTGCATCTGTTCCTTTAAACTCGACCCTCTAAAGATGAAGATGTATTACCTGAGCATTTTCTGGTTCTCCGTAATAATTTTCCAGACAGATCTCACAGCGATTTCCTCCATGACCTTCTGAACAATTAATGCATTTCTGATTACCATTATCAAGTTGACAAGTTGTAGCAAATACATTCACATCTCCTTGTACTACATTACCAGGGCACATACATGGTTTACAATCATCTATAAATAGAAAGTAAGGGTTAACACGATATATTCTGTCTGAGAATGAAAGCTTCAAAATATTCGAGAACGGTGCATAAAACACTTTCATAGATATCAATAATAAACAACAGAAATAATTTAGCCCTCCAGTTTCTGTATCAAAGTCCGATAAAAACAACCGAGAAAAGTAAATGAGATATAGTTTTCTTTACCTCAAAGACGTGAAGATAATATGTCAATCGTACATCTGTGCAAATATTTATAGGAAAGATTCCTTAGTGGCTGAGTTCCTGAGTACTTACTTGCTGTTCCAGTTGTGGCATCACCAAAGTAACCATCCATACATAGTTGACACTTGTCTCCTTTAGTATTATGTGTACAATTACATATACCAGTTGTATCATCACAAGGACCAGCACTATGGCCATTACAACCACATGGAATACATTTAGAGAATGGTCCACCATTGGCTTTCTCTCTCTTAAAACCATCTGCACAACGCTCACAAAATTCTCCCTAATGGAAATAAATGTTAACTTACAATCCTACCAACATTTCAAGAGCTACATTTCTTGGTAACTTATGTCATATCTGAACAATGAAATGGATTGTCGTCTGTCAACAATTAGGTGACAAAGGTTTGAATCCTCCTCAAGGTTATGATGCAACAGCACCTTCTTCTTGAAGTTGGCCATTTCTTACCTGATATTCTGGTGGACAGTAACAAGATTCTACATTATTAATAGGTTGACTACCAGTGGTGTTAGTTTTACTAGAAATATAGAGATCAAAATCATATAGGTCGGTTTCAGCATCTGTGGCCTATAATAAACATAAAACAAATTATTTTTCAATTATTAAATCATGACACAATATCTTATATTATATTCTAGGATTCTAATCATTATTAGTAAAGGGTGTTAATATATAATCGTGCCAATATATTGTGATCATTCTTTTCACTTGCAATGCGTTGATAAGGGGGAAAGAATTGCAGTTAGATTCACCAGTGAATAGTAGACAATAATCAAATTTGCAACCATTTGTTGTATTTTATGAGCTTTCTTTATTTCCTTGAATCAATAAGGAAGTCCTACAGTGGCTCGTATACGACATCGTTTTATTTTTTTAATTTTGAATTAAAAAACTGGAATATAATTATAAACATAATTTTGAATTAAAAACTTGTATTTTCACCCGGGTGAAAATTAATTTTCAACCAGGTGATAATTCAATAATATTTAATTAAAAACTTGAATTGTCACCCAGGTGAAAATTAATATTCACCCAGGTGATAATTCAAGAATTTTGAATTTAAAACTTGAATTTTCACCCAGGTGATAATTCAATAATATTTAATTAAAAACTTGAATTTTCACCCAGGTGTGAAAATTAATATTCACCCAGGTGATAATTCTAGAATTTTGAATTTAAAACTTGAATTTTCACCCAGATGATAATTCAATAATATTTAATTAAAAACTTGAATTTTCACCCAGGTGTGAAAATTAATATTCACCCAGGTGATAATTCTAGAATTTTTAATTAAAAACTTGAATTTTCACCCGGGGGAAATTAGTTTTCACCCAGGTGATAATTCAATAATATTTGATTAAGATTTTTGAATTTTATATATTGAAAGTTTATTTTTTAAAGAAAAAAATATTTTAGCAGCAATTTTATATTTGAACGGAAAAGTTATTAGAGATTAAACGTCTAGTGTTTAGTCAATGTTGACCATGCCGCTATGTATAATACACGTGACTACATGCTAACCACGTGATAAAGAATCATTAACCTTTTTTCAACAAAAAAAAAATTAAATAAAAATTTGAAAAAAATAATTCAATATTATGGAATTTTCACCCGGGTGGAAATTCAAGTTTTTTATTAAATATTATTGAATTATCACCTGGGTGAAAATTAATTTTCACCCGGGTGGAAATTCAAGTTTTTAATTCAAAATTCTAGAATTATCACCTGGGTGAAAATCTGGGTGGAAATTCTAGTTTTTAATTGAAAAATATGTTTTATAATAATATTCCAGTTTTATAATGATGTCGTATACGAACCACCGTAAAGTTCACTGTAAGCCAATCAAAACTTTGATTACACCAAACTACATGGGAGCAACCAGTATAAGTAATTTATAGTGTATCAAAACAAATCTGATGATCAAAATTGTTTAATATATGTCAATTGTAAGCTTTTTACAGAAAACAAGGCAACATATTCAACATATAAGTCAGATGAAGTCATCAAAACATAGATGAAGTAGGTCTACTTACATTGCTCCATTTTCCTCTGACTTTAATAAAATCAATTCCTGAGAGAACTTGTATAAACTGTGTATAGGTTGGTCTAACTTTATCAGTACCATTGATATACCACTCACTTTCTTTCATTGTTATCTTTGTTAAAATAAAATTATATGAAATTATTGCATTTGTCTTTTACCAGAATTTGGATTGGATACAATCTATCAGTATTTATATTATTCTTTCAATTGTTATTTGAATGTTTTAAGATATGATGTCAAGTTTTACAAAAATTCCACATCATCAATTTGTATGATATTTTACACAGTAAGACACTGTTAACATTAGTCAGTTTTTACTATTTTATATTGAAAATGGTGGAATCCTTATTAAATGAGACACTAGGCAAAGCTATGAAATGTGCAGCCACATGAAGTGAAGAGAAGCAGCTCTAAATTGTCACATTACTCTCAGTTTTCAATTGTCTCACAATTCAAATTTAAATTGCCTCAAGAAATCTAATTGATTAATACAGTAGTTAGAAGATAAACCAATCAGAGTTCATATTGGCTGACCCTGATCTGAAAGTTGTGATGAATCGGACTTACATTATAAGTTGTTTTTTCTGTACCAGGTAATGCAATATCTTTAGCAAGAACAAAGTCTGTATACTTCCCTCTAATACAGATATCACCTTCTGTATAGTTACCAAGAAGTTCATCATGGGTTGACAGACGTAGATTCATAGTAAAATATTGACCATAAGCACTACGCTTGTCACCCATGTACTTTGCTGGTGCTTTAAAATATAGATGACTTGCATCTAGATATTTAGCAGTATTTGTAATTCTCATAACAATACTAAAAATATCAAGAAAATAAAAAATATTGGGACATTATTTCATTTAGTCGAAGCTCAATTTGTGTGGATATCTATTCTGAAAGGATCAATGGATGGCAGAATTGAGTTTTATGAGCTTGTTGAAAAATGGTGTAAATGATTGTGTTTTTTTTTTACAAAATCATGCTTTCAACAATGCCACAGACAAGAAAACACCCATGAAATTATTGAAAATTTCAAAATTATTACTGGTTTTGTTCCATTTCTGGACATTTTAGATTCCACATCATACAATTTACTTACTCTATTCCAACATATTCATCATCTACAGTAATACTGTTGCCTTCACTGTCCACACCTAACCAACGTTCATCTACAGCACTCTCATCTTTTATTGACCAAGCACTTGATTTCACTGCCTGAAACCATCCTTGACCAGTTGAACAGTTAGTGGAATGTCCACTACATAGACATTTGATACAGCCTTCATCACTCCATCCACCAACACCAAAATAACCTTGATAAAAAAATTCATTCATTTCAATTTTCCCATACATAAAAATAATTCACCAACACACGATGTCAAATATCGATGGCAAAAAGTAAAGAAGAATATGGCAAAGTACACAAGTTTATTAAGTAGATACAAAAACCAGTGGCAAATACACTATATTTTATAATTTTAAACATGCCATACCACATCAGCAATCAAAAGTTTTGGACTTCGACTCAAGAGATTTAATTAGACATCAAGTATATTGGGTTGAAAACTAAAACACAGCGATTGTAAACTGAGGTTACTATGGGTTAAATATATAAGCTTAGACCTTACTAAAATAAAAATAATTTCATTTTTAAAAGAATTGTAAATTGGAACATATCTTACCATCTACACACTGATCACATTTCTCTCCTGTTGTCATTTCTCGGCAAGTACATTTACCAGTACCTGAATCACACACATTATTAATACTGCCTTCAGCATGACACCCACATTCAGTACAACCATCATTAGTTAAATTATAAAACCTGTTTATAAAAATACATCATTATCTTCAGTTAAATTATAAAACCCGTTTATAAATGTATATCATTATTTCAGTAGAGTTATAAAACTTGCTTATAGATATATACTATTATTGTCAGTAACATTATAAAACCTGTTTATAAAATACATCATTATCTTCAGTTAAATTATAAAACCTGTTTATAAATGTATATCATTATTTCAGTAGAGTTATAAAACTTGTTTATAGATATATACTATTATTGTCAGTAACATTATAAAACCTGTTTATAAAAATACATCATTAAGGTCAGTTATATTATAAAATCTGTTGATAAAGATATAATTTTTGTACATATGAACATTTTATATTAGGAGAGGTTTTGTATAGGCGAAAGTCTGTTCCCCAATCCTTTTCATATTTATATGAGATAAAATAAAGATATAACATTATATGTTACATGTTATTTTAGTTAGATTATAAAACCTGTTGACAAAGGTATATCATTATTTCAGTTATATTATAAAACCTTATATATATTGATAACATTTTCTTCTGAGTTAAATTATAAAATAAATCCATTATGAGAAAGCTTACAAAAATATAGCCATCCTCAGTTATACAAGAGCCGTATTCAGTATTATTATCAAACTACAATTACAAAAATTGGTATTCTCAAATAAATAACAGAAACTTTCTATAAATTTAGAAGTATGTGTAAAAAAAGTCTTACCCTGGTAAACACTGGTCACAATTCTGTTGACCAATTCCTGGTTTACAGATACACTGTCCACTATCAGCACATGTATTGTTGACAGAATACAACATATTACAAGTACAATCTTGACATCCATTTCCTGGCAAAAACAATAATATTTCATTTCATTATGGTATGGTCTTTCTGTTAAATCAAATAATGCATTAACTTGAATGTTCTTAGTCATTCATTTCCATCATGGATGATAGGACTTATTTCCTATCTACCTATATGTTTAAGTTTGTTGATATCTAATTACTTTTCTACCTACCTTGATTAATCCAGCCCCGTTGTTAGGGTGGGGTCCGTAAGGCTGGGCCCCAGCAATTGAGAATCAAGCCCAAGCAAAACCTTCTTCAGTTCAGCAGAGATTGATTCATTTACAGTGTTTTTGTACAAAATCAAACAGAAATGAGTTCTGTTGGCCTGAGTGCACAATCTGATCCCCTGCACCAATTCATTTCTGGCAACGGGGCTGGATAAGTCTACTAATGTAGGCATTGATCTAAATACATGGCTCATTTGTATGATTAGTAATCATTTAAGATTTTGAAGTCTGACTTTCACTCAGGAGGAATTGAAAGCTACAAATGAATTGATAAATACCTGAACTCAGACCATACTGATCTGGTAGACACTGATCACATTGTTTTCCTGTTACATTAGTTTTACAAGAACAGTCACCAGTCATATTACATGATTGTTTTATAGATCCCCCTACATTACAATTACATACTGAAATAAACCATTCCAATTGTCATGACTATTTAGGTAATTTCCATGTGCCTTGTATGTGATAATCATAACACTTTCTTCTCAAAAGTTAACCAATTTTTTTTTTCTAAAAATATTTTCTAATGTCTGCAACTTATAAGTATTAAGACTGGCGTTTAATATTAACTGTTCTGAAATGCTCTTATTGCGAAAATGACTAACTACTGGTAACAGCTTTAACTAGATAATCACAGATTCTAAATCCCTCAGATCAGATCCAGTTTTGTTGAAACATGAGCTGATGGTAAATTGTTTGGCTCAAATCGACTTTATTAGATTCTGTTAGAAGGTGTCACTTGCTTGCAACCACTGAAAAATCCAGTTGCTCTCAGATTCTCTAAGTAATATAGATCTGAGCTTTTGTCAATTTAATTATGAAATTAAGCAACAACCTACATCAAGAATACATCCAGAATAAATAAACCATTTGTTTGGTTGATAGATGATATCACAAGAGGTCCTGTTTCTACATAAATTATGTTCAGGGCACAATTTCAATGTTATTCAGTTATAAAAAATTAAAGGAATGACAACCAAGTTCTTAATCTATGCATAAATGTACTATAGAAATGTTTTTTTACTATTGATATATGCTACTTACAAGTACAGCCATTTGTAATATCAATACCATAAGAATCTACCCTACAAATAGAACAATCTCTCATAGTTACTCCTTCTTTACAGTCACATTGTCCACCATATTGATTACAAACAGCAGTAGATACACTACCTTCACTATTACAATTACATGCTGAAATACAAACAGTTGGGTATAAAACTTCATTACATTTTAAAAGGACATTGCCTTCAAAATAGTTGCTTCAAACATCAATGACGTAAAAGTGACCATAAATTTCCTCTGTGAGCTTTTTATTTAATTGTAGGGAACTAAGAGCTGAAATAAAGTTAGCAAAACTTTACAAGGCCTAAAATCAGCATAATTATACCACTCCATCATAAGACTCTGTTCAAATAGTCCATCTTATTTTATAGTTACTATTAATGTTATACTATTAAACAAGGAATGTTCACAAATTCATAACTTAAATTTATAACTTCTTTATCCTAGAGCTCATCCCATTCTGCCGACAAGGCTTACGTGTAACACATGTAAGTAAATTTAATAATTCAAACTATCCTTACGCATTGCTCCACCAATCAACTGAGTCATAATAGAGTATTCTAGTTCTGTACAATTTAAACTTTGACGGTTTGGCATATTAACACCAAATGAGGCCTCGCGACATGATGTTATTTTTTGTTTCATCTTATCATCACCACTAGTGTATATTTGTAATGTCTCTAACACAGGTAAAACAACAATCTGGAAAATAATTGTCATTCAAATATAGGACACTTTCTTAGGGTTGTTTTTAACCAGATCGTATGTGACTGTGATCTTCAGATAACTTAGCTATTTCAGTCTGTGTCCCAACTAAAGTTATACACTGAATCCACAAGCTCAAGACTGTGGCTCCGAATTCTTCTAGTTTTTCTATCGTCACTGGCCAACTTTATAGTATAATACTTCCCCTTTTCTTTATTCTATGATGTCTAAGTTCCAATTCAATTAAGAAAGACTATAGAAGATATTAAAAGACTTACAGAATCTATGAGAAGACTGGAAGCTGCTGTAGTAGTTAATGTTAAGGTATATTTCTGGTTGAGTCTACCACACACACGAGCTAATATCAAACCACCTATAAATTAGAATTAGATGGTTAGTAGTGAGTTCATTTCTAGCTTTAATGGTTAGTACTGAGTTCATTTATAGGTGTAATGGTTAGTACTGAGTTCTTTTCTAGGTTTAATGGTCAGTACTGAGTTCATTTATAGGTGTAATGGTTAGTTCTGAGTTCCTTTCTGGGTTTAATGTTTAGTACTCAGTTCATTTCTGGGATTAATGGTTAGTACTCAGTTCATTTATGGGTTTAATGGTTAGTACTAGTTTAATAACCAAGTGTAATGTTCAGTACATTAAATGGTCAATGTTTGGTCCACTTCTTGGTCCAATTGCCATTACTTTCATTTCCATTTTTTTTACAATAGTTAGTGCTATGTCTGCTTCTTTGAACTGTGATTTGTAAATTACCTCAACATGAAAGCATGAAACAAGTTTAGAAGAAGAAACAAGAGGAGATGGATACCTCTAGATTGAGCTTGTGGTATAGCAGCAGGTATAGCCCACACTTTATCAGCTGCTATTGAAGCACCATTACATTCATATGGTACACCATTAAGTTGTTTAATATCACCAGTAACACCATTAATAGCACTAGAACTCTACAACAATCAAATATTATCATTTAGGGCTTTTGAGCAGTCACTGACAATCTGGAAACTCTGATATGCCTATATATTTTAATGGTAACTGAATATTTATTATGTGATGTGTTTTACACAACTTCGAGATACAGATCCACCACCCACAGTTACTGGCTATATAAACAATGTCAATTCAATCTGTCAAATGCAATCAGAGGTTCTCTTACGAGTTCAATCGCAATTGAAAGTTGTTTTTTCCTAAAAACAAGAAAATACTGTGTCCTACAACATACCTCATATCTAAGAACAATATCAAACTCTTTATTCAACTGTGTATCAAATTCTAACTGAATGGTATTACTAGCTGGTAGAGATATTAAACCACGACCTGTTACTGTACCATCACTAACACCTTCACCAGGTCTATCTACTTTATTCCCTTCCTGAAATCATAGTTCACTTGTATACATACTCCAAATGTTCCACAGTTAGTTTCATCTATAAAGATCTACCAGTGACCTATGAACTCAATTTCTTTACCACTAGTGGTTTTTTAACTACTGGCATGTATCAATCACCAGATATAATAGAATAGCTAATCTTAATGAAATAAATGCTTGGAGTGCTCAGGGAAGCTTAAATATTTAAGTTAATGCTCCGATACAACTTATTTCAATTATTGAATCTTTCTTTGTTTTTGTTTGTTTGTTGATTTGTTTGAGCATCAACATTCAACAAATTGCTGTAATGTCAAAAGCAATTAACCAGTACATGAGGTTTACCAAAAATTATCTCTTAAAAACTATCATCTCTAATCTAATAACTTGAAATACAATAGTTGACTAACAATTCTTACTTACCAATATCCCAGTCTGAAATTCTGCTTCAAATTTGAAATAATCCAGTTTGGGAGCAAAATACCCTGTAACTGTGGTCCTACAGTCTCTAGTTGCAATATTATTAAGACATTCACACTGTCCACCATTTGTTACATCACAGATATTAGACTTAGAGGCTCCTGGATCACAATCACATTGGGTACAACCATCTTCATTCTCACTAGTAAGATTAAATGTTTCAGCCTTGAAAATAAATTACAAATACATGTACTATAATTTTAATAGATCAGTTTTTGAAAACATTCGATACATCACATTCCATAATACTGCTGGGATGTTATACCAGTGAATTGATATTACATTGTGATACTACATGCCATGATATACATATCACTTGATAATGTATCAATACTTGATGATACTGGGCATTCATGTATACATGTGTAACTAAAAACATCGACGGAAGAAAAGTTATTGACAATAAATTTCTATTAATAAGGTTATATTTTTATTTCAAACTTGAATCTTAAAAGTGTTACTAATTATCTTTTACCCAATCATGATTCATATAGTATCTTGGCCTATCTTTCATGACATAATTTGGTAATAACCAGCATTATCAAATGCTATGAGCATGAAATGTAACTAGGAATGGATGGTATCTACCAAAAGTATCAATTGCACTGTATTTTAATCAAAGCCTAAACATTTGTATCTTTTGATCAATTAATTACTAAGATTGATTAATATATGACTATGTGCGCAAAAAAATCTACCACATGTACAAAAGAATTCAACAAAATAGAATTGTATATGTTCATAATAGACAAAAATACACAAATTTGATCTCATAACACTAAACCATATATTTGTAAATATTTGATATATCTCACCATACAACTGTCACATTTATCTCCAGTAGTGTACTTCTTACAAGGACATGTTGATGTTGTTTTATTACAGACATTACTACCACCTACAGTACCTTTTGTATCACACTTACATTCTGTAAATCAAATAATATCATACAATCAATTTAATAAATAATCAACAATCAATATAAATCATTAATAATATATCAATATACACTCATATTCTGTTAATCATTAATAATATGTAACATTCACTCACATTCTGTAAATCATTAAATAATAATATAATATCATATACTCACATTCAATAAATCATCAAATAATATAATAATATCATACACTCACATTCTAAAAAATCATTTAATAATATAATATCATATACTCACATTCTATAAATAATTAAATAATATAATATCATATACTCA